AGAGGACTTTTCAAGTACTTCGTTATACCCTTCGGACTTACTAACGTACTAGTAATATTTTAAATAATAATTAACTATATACTTAAAAAATATGTTAATATCTTTATTATTATTTATATCGACAACGTCCTTATTTTCTCTCCCGATCTCGAAACTTATAAGAAACATATCCACATAATATTTTAAAAACTTTAAAATACTAAACTATATACTAAACCTTCTAAATATAAGTTCTATATATAAAAGGTAAACTTCCTTAGATATATTATTACTAAATAAGAATAATTAAAGTATTATAGCTAGCTAGTTATAGTAAGTATATTAATAGAAGTTAAGGCTATAAAGGCTAAGTAAATAATATCGTAATTATAAATAGCTTCCTTAAAGCTATATCTATAAATTATAAAATAAATAAGGCTTTAATAATTAATTGTAATTTTATTAAAAGGTATTTTCAATAAAAATAGCTAAAAGCGATCGTAAGATCTAATATTAAGTTAATTATTAAAGAAGCTATAGGAAGTCTATCTTTAAGCCCGGCTTAAGTCTATATTATATATAACGTACATGATAAGCGAGTGGGCCAGACAAGCGAGTAGGCCACCCAACCACGACCACATAACATAAAGGTGCAAATATCAACAACCGCCTTATTTATTCAATCCAAAATATTCAAAGTCCTCTTCCTTAGACATTTCCTCATTAAATTAACATATTCGCGCATTATAACCAGTATTCCCGCAGACGCCACATCGTCGTTAGCCCGTCTCAGTCCTCGGTCAGCGACCACTACTCCGGCACGTTTCCTCCTCTACCTAGGCTATAACCTCTCTCTGCAACTAAAGGTCCTCTCCCTTAGCTACAGTAAGACTTCCTCCTTATCAGAGACGGTTTTTCTTAACTCTCCGGCATCGACTAAATAGGTTATTCTCCTCTTAAAGGATCTAGTTCTCGGATCTTAATAAGGCGATCTAGTACATAAACCCACGAGCCCCCTTAAATAGATACTCTATAACTTCGATAATTAAAATTAGGGAGCTATTTTAATAACGGGCGATTCTATTCTTAATAAGTTATGACTGCAAAGACGCCTCGGTTAGGTTATTTAGTGTTTAAGAAGTCCATACCGGGGGTATTATCAGGAGGGATCCTGGAGGCATCGGAGTACATAACTTTACGTCAAGCTTTAAGAGCACACTCTCTACACTTAAAGGCACAAGCCCTGCCCCTCTAAATCCTCCCTAGATATTTTTCTCAATCATCGCTTACGCAAAAGCCCTATAAAATACCGGGAAGAAGTCCTCCTTAATAATATACATATTACCCCGACGCATCTTATCCTCAATTTCTCGACCGTACGCCGTTTTAAAAGGCCCAAAACATCCAACATCCAAGGGCTAGAGTAGATAAGACGAATAAGCCGGCATACACAGGGTAATAATATTATTCTCCTTACAAAAAAGCTCAAAATCCGCAGAGTAATGATTTTCGTATCCATCGACGATGAGGAGGCAATATTAACCCTTTCTACGCGGTCTTATATACCGTTCAAAGTACCGAGCCCAATCTAGGCCTCTTTCATTTATTATCCATCCATTTTCAGACATTACAATAACCCAATCGTATAGAAGACCAGATTCCGTATACTAAGTAGAAAGATAATATTAGCCCGCAACGATAATATACAGCAGAACGCTATAACCCAACGAGCTAATAGCCTGAATAACTATAACCTATTCACGATTACCAGGCTACATCATTTTCGTATTTAAACGCCTTTCGGCACTGGTCACGACCATGCCGGTTAAGATCTGGCCCATCATAAAGCCAGTCTCGTCAAAATTATAGATATCTAAGTCCACGATACCGTACTTCGCAATTATGTTCGCCACAAGCGAGAACCACGCATTTATCACGACTAAATCTTCACATTAGGCCCTCTTATAATCGTACTTACAAAAACGACGCGTTTATAACTATAGTTATCGCTTTACAAAGTTCGAAGCCCATCGCTTCCCAACATAGGACGCGTCACGATCTACAAGCAATCGATTCGCCATTTCTTCAACACCACAAAGACGGGGAGAAAAAGATCTAGCATCCAGGTCGAGAATATACTCAATCAGCTTCTTCTCTTCTAGCAGCATCAAATTCCGTAAGTTAGGTATACTATCACGTCGTGACAACGTTCCCTCTAATCTACGGCCTAAGGTAACGCGACTGATATTATAGATCTTTACTACGGCCCAAATACTAAGGTTTCGGTCTTTTTAGATAGCCTAAACCGCTAAGTTTAATTAAGTATCTTTGATATGTACTATCATCGTTTTTGATAGAGAAATACGTATTATGATAATGTAGGTGGCACTATGGCGGTTGGGTGGCCCACTCGCTTGTCTGGCCCACTCGCTTATCATGTACGTTAAGTCTCGTTTTTAAATATATCCTTTATCTATATATTTACTTAATGGGCTCCGTATTCTAAATATACGGGCTCCGTATTATAAAAGGACGGGATCTATATTCTTAATATACGGATCTTTTTATCTCTTATCGTTACGTAACTTAATTTATAGTTCTTCCGTTCCGTTAAGGTAACGTATATATTCTACTTACTTATATATATATAGTCGTGCTATAGCCGCTATAAGCCCGCGGGGTAGGCCCTAGTCTTAGTTATGTATGTTAGGTCGTAATAGACTAGTACTAACTTTAAGGGCCTGATCTCCTTACGGCTAAAGCCAGTTACTAGTCGCCATAACTAATATAGTCAATATCTAAAAATAATAAAAAATCTTTCTTATAATTATAAACCTTTTTAGCTATAGTTTTACTACTAGCTTTGGTATTTTAAAAAATATTAAGGTTAAATAATATTTATTTAAAATCCATAATTAAAACAAGTTAAAAATAATATAATCACAGCCAATTAAGCTAATTAACTTTAATAGCTAGTATTTTAAAAAAAAATTATTTATAATTGATTAGTTATATTATTAGATTTCTTTATTATATAAAATACCTTAATAGCGCCCCGGTAATAGCCTAGTGTTATCGCCTAATACGGCGGTATAATTGATTACGGGGCCGTGGTATTTTTAGTAACGCTGTATCCTCTAGCGGTTAGCAATTGGCCTGGGGCGCGAGGAGATCAGGCCCTAACTGTACTTGGGCACCCCCACGAACGCCTCCTGCTGCAGGGGAACGCTGCTTCACCGCCTCCAACGGTCCAACCTGAAGGTGTGTAGTGCCCACACAGGAACCGCACCCGCATAAATCCTCTTCATCCTCTCTCCTTTCACCTGAACCGCTGTAAACAATCATCACCTCTCAAGTTTTGGCGCCACAATGACCGACAACCATCCAAGGCCAAACTTGACTCCCCATCCGAGCGACGGCCACGACGATAAAATACCGTCTTTGAAGCAAAAGGGCGAATTTGTCGCGATGGGCTTAACATCCTATGTTGAGCGTTTGCCTAATGGCACCATTATCAAGACAGCCTGGCCTGGCGGCGAACGCGCCAACCAGCGACGCCGCGAAATCGCTATAGAGGCCGAGATATACGATCGACTCGGAGAACATCCTTGCTTAGTGAAAAAGAAGGCATGGAACCCAGACGAATGCACCTTGATCTTGGAAGATATGCCCAACGGAACTCTCATAGACTTTCTCGAGTCCCACACGGATATGTCCGTGGAACAGCGACAGCAATGGGTAATTGAGGCTATTGAGTGCATCAAGCTTCTGCACAGTTCGATTGTTCTTCATTGCGACATTGGGCCGCACAATTTCCTCCTAGATGACCGTCTCCGTCTCAAAATCATCGACTTTTCTGGGTCATCCGTCGATGGCTCCCATAGTGAGATCTACCCGGGCACTCGATACACAGCCCCTTCGCTGGATCACTCCTTGAAGTGGACCCCAACAGTCAAAACCGACCTCTTCAGTTTAGGATCCACGATTTACTACATTATGACGGGCAAAGCTCCATTTGAGGAATTCCAGAGTCGAGATGTTCAGAGGATGTACAACAACCAAGAATTTCCAGACTTGACTGGCGTACCTCATTCAGATCTTATCCTAGGCTGTTGGTCTCAGAATTTCGAGTCCGTAAACGGGATGCTTTCTTTCTTGGTAAAATAAAACAGGGCTTATTTAGGCACTTTAACTACAAGTTTAGGTACTTAGTTTAATACTTAGGCTTATTTTAGTTAAGAGCGGCGACTACTTAGGATTATAGCTAGAAAAAGCGTAGAGATTAGCAAGACAAATGTGGTTATACTGTCTTCTAGGGCCCTAAAAATATCGAGGCCGATAAAGACCAACTCTTAAGCCGATGAGTGGATCCACCGAAGACCGAAAACTGGCGCTTCACTTGGCCCACAACGGGAAACACGGAGGCAACCCCGCAAAGTAGCTTCCGAGAGTGCCGCATTCCAGAGTGTCGATTACCGGCGCCGAACTTGAAAAGCTTAGAATACCTTTTACCAAGGTGCACAATCGACGGGCCTTTCTTACCGTGTAAGGCAATGAATATCCGACGGACCTCTAGGCCTAAAAGTCCGTCTCGGCTCTTAGATGATTGCCGATTCCGCGGCCCTCTGCTGTGGGCGGCTCGAGCTCTCCACACAAGCAAACCTACTTACCTAGGAAGGTAGACGCTTTGCAAGAGGATGGTCTATCTAACGCACCGGCCGATTCTGCGGGCTCCCGCAAAGACTGTAGCTGTCTGCCGAAATGGGGGGCAAGATCAAATAGTGTCAACCTACGCCCTTGGGAGGACGCTTAATGGCTACGAAAGGCTCCCAAACCTAAGAAGGCTGATATTCGGAATGATAGTGACGCAATAGGACCGGTGATAAATGCCGATGACCGCGTGCGACTTTGGATTCGAATAAGAATGAAGGGCAGGCGTAAAGAACCATAAAAGCAGACGATGGCCCAGCCTGTTTAGCCAATTTTTCGGACCATCTCCATCCCAACTACGCCCGCCAAACATGACATCCGAAGACACACTCCCCGAAAGATGGGTCGCCGCCTGGTCCGCCAACGACCCAGCCGCCTTTGCGCAGCTCTTCGTGCCGAACGCCGTCTACATTGACCACGGGTCCCAGCTCCACGTGACCCGGATGGACAACCACCACCGAGTCTGGCGCAACGCCGTCCCCAATTTTACGGCGGTGCTGGACCCGTCTACGCCGATATGGTGGGCAAAGAAGGACACTGGTGACGGGAAGACGAGGACAACGTGCGTGTTTAGATCTCTCATGAATGGCACGTTTCTGGGGTCACTGCCTCGGAAGCCGGCGACGGGGGCGGACTGGTGTTTTGTGGCGATGGTTTGCATGGAGATTGAGGATGGGTTGATTTTGAAGCTGGATGAATTTTATCGGGATAGTTTTGAGAAGGGTGTTGCGGTGGATCAGTTTCTTCGGGATTCGTAATGAATGACTTTGTCTTGATGCTTCTTCTGTGCACCTCTCCATCATCTACAGTCGCCCACATTGCCGGATTGACTCCCAAGACCTTGCTCAACAGCGTCGAGGTTACAAGCCATCGCCTTCTTTTAGCTTTGCTAGTGTTGTCTCTCTTATCGATACTCACTCACCTGGGATCTAAACGTGCAGCCACTGCCGGATCTGCTCCGTAGTCGAGAGGAACGGTGTCTCGATTCTCTCAAAGTTCCTCTTAAGAAGGGCAGAGGAGTGGAGCATCTGGCTTAATAGTGGATAGAGCCTGGACCTTTGCGGTGATTGAGAGCCGGAAACAGACAGCGCCAGCGGCCAGGGCCAAATTAGGGTAGGTGGACCAGAGGCACAGCGGTAGTGGACGGCTCGCTAGGCCCGCCAGCCGCCGGGGCAGCGGCGCCACCCAGTTTGGGGCTGACGATAAGGACACGTGGAGCACCGGAGGGTACGATAAGACATGCTGTGGGGCCACCTTTAAATTTGTTTTTACTCCGTGTCAGTACGTGCCCAGTACGTACCTTAAGAAGGCTGTCTACTATGTAAGGTAGGTAGCCGGTACGTACCGCCACCCCTCGTGCCCCTCCGCCGCCGCCGCCGCCCAGGAACCCCCAAGCAGCGGCTTCTCTCTCCGTCCTTTTATGTCTCTCTTCTCGAGGAATAAATGTGGCCACTTGTTCAGTGTCGTCTTGTCTTGATTATCCGCTGCAACCTTGTTTAATTATCAAGCCGTGTCTCTTTGACAAACACCCGCTCGTCCCTTGCTTTCCCCTCGCCTCGTGGCACAGAGACATTCTCCTACAGACTTTTGCGTATTAAATAGCGTTTTACTCGTAGCACCACGCATAAATCGCAATCAACGCAAACCAAAACATAATCAGACTCGAGTCACACTATCACCGCACCGAAACCAGGGCCCCAAACCAAACCTGTCGCTTGCCCCTCCTCCTCCTCCTCCCGAGTCCCGTCCTCGTCGAGTCTCGACTCTCCCCGGACCCCCGGCCACCTGATCATCGCTCCCAGCCCCCCATCTCGTCGCCTTTCGCGCCCTCGTGGCCCTGGAAGTGGCACTCGCAGAGTCGCAGCAACACATCATCTTTCGCACTCCGTCCGTCAAACGTCGCGTCGTTCGTCAGTCACACCGCAACAAATCGCTGCTGTGTATCCGTATTGGTATCCGCCTCCAAACAGCACACTACTGCACCTACCTACCTCTCTACTTTTTTTTCGCCCTCTTTTACGGTTTACCCTGCATTTCTGCAGCAAAGAAATCACCTCCCGTCAGGTCTCACCGCTACGTCAACGGAGTAAACCTGCAGCCATCATGTTCGCCTTCCTTCAGACCCTGCTTGAGTTCAACTCTCACGTCACGCTGTTCCAGCGTATGATGTTCCTGTTCTCCTTCTGCATCTCTGGCATCATTCTCGCGGTCCAGGCGTCGCAGGCTGGGGAGCCGGATCATTTGCGCATTCGCTGGACGCGCTTGACGGAACAGAGTCGGTGAGTTTGCTTTTTTTCCTCGTTTGCTCCAGCTACTCCCTGCATCGCCGTCTTATCGACGAGGCGGCATAGTTCCCGACATCTCTGTCTGAACTCCCTTTCGTCTGAACCCTGAATGATGAGCGTCAAACTCAATCAAGCCTCCCAATCCATCCCTCTCCCCAGTTCATATTCTCCTTGCTTCTGGCTCTCGTCTACCCTCTGCACCTACCGTTTCAATGCGCATTACAAAGTCTCTCTCTCCCTGTCTCTTTGACTTTGGAACTTCCGTGCGCAGGAAACCCGGCGAGCGGCAAGCGCCAATCTGCATCTGCAAGGCTTGCCCAAAGATTCCCACCATCAGTGCCACCACCTGGTTCTTCCATGCGACAAGGTTTCAAAGAAGCAAATCCCCGCAATTTTATCATTTCCTTTATTTTTGGGGACAAAGATCCAACACCCATCACACATTGAACAGACGGTTCCACGAATCCACGGACGATCGCAAACGCACTAGCTCAAATGTTCTTGTTTTCCTGTCCACATTTCATTTTTCCAAGGCAGCTGAGGGTGGGGTGGTACCAAAGCGGTCCAGCCCATCTAGCTAGCACCCACCACCCCCAGACCTCACCTTTTTATAAGACCAACGCCATGGAACCACACCATCGACCGCCTGTGACCTTCTCGTGCTGACCTGTCCTTCACAGTCCCTACTGGTACACCTTCTACGTCACCCAAGTCTTCCTCTTCGTCACCGGCGCGTACCCCATGCTCTACGACAAGATGACAATGTACATTGGCAGCGGCTACGAGGAGCAGATCCTCAACATCATCTGGGTCGGTCTGCTCAGCGTCGAGGCCCTCATGGTTGCCGGCGTCGCTGGTGTTGCGATTACGCGCAAGTTCAAGGGCGCGCCGAAGCAGAAGACGAACTGAGGTTGCATACCACGCATGTGCGCGCGCGCACAGCCCGATTTAATACCCTTTATTATCTTTTGTTGCTGTTGTCTATATCGAGATCTATCCTCTTGCCAGTGGAGACGAAGAACACACCTTTTGGGCAATGATATCATGCCTGCATATATTGCATCTTTGGAGTCGGGGGCGGTTTTGAATATACATTTTTATCGCATTGCGCTCGCTTGCTATCCAAGTGTGCCCTTCCGAGTGACCGATGGTCATCACACCTACAACGAACGATGAATCGACCCGAGACACACCCGCCCCCAGAATGAAAGATTAGACAGACGGGCACCGAGTCCCAAGCGCACAAATCAGATACCAGCGTTCGAAGAAACCAACCTTGAACTACCACACGATACCCACGACCTATTCCATTCCACACATAAGGGGAAGCGCGAAAATGAACGATTGAACGACTATACGAGAACGTAAGAGCATTACGAGACGAGATGACGCCCACCGATGGGCCCTCGGCTATGGCTTCCACCCCGCCGCTAGTATGGAAACATTTAGCCGCGGAAAGAATCCAGACAAAAGCATATCTGGGGAGGGGGGAGGGGGGAGGATGAATGACGGGAGGGCTACTAGTTGCCTTAACCGGCAGCCGCCGCATGGCAACAGGCCCGGCTAAAGATCCGAGCCGTGCCGATTCACGATGGATGGGAAGAAATGCCCCATGGCAAATGACAGCGAGGGTCCTATGGCGTTCTATCAACGCCAACCAACATTGACGACATTGGTTTCGCGAGGAACTCCTCCGTTGTAGAGCAGAGTTGTACAGAAAAGAACTGGAGAGCTGTGTAATCGGGACTAAAAGATGGAGCGACCATCTATCCTACTTCTATGAATCAGCGTCTTCTACTTTAGTGGATAAAACTACTTGAATGTAAACTGTTCACAGCTGTTCACAACCAAGTAATCCGAGTCGGGTGGCTGTGCTCTACACGTGGCCACGTGTCATGCACACAATTTGCTCAACCGAGGCGTAGCTCAGTATACGGAGGAGATGCCCTCGGGAGGGGATCAGATCGCTGTGCAGTATGGCGAACCATGGCGACCCATGGCGGATTTTAGTTCAGTAGATAATCCTACCTGTGTCAGTGTGTGATCCTCATTGAATAAGTGTGTCGGTTCGAACTGCAGCAAGGATGCGGGATGGAAGGGTCAGCAACTGCTAGGCTTTCCACTTGAATCGCTTCTATGTAAGATTCTGAGGTCTTGATAGGGCAGGCATGGTACGCCAGTTACATGTTCGGCAATGAACCCGCCCATGGATGGCCTTGGGGTAGATTAAGAATGCAGTGCCCATGCAAAGCCCATCTAGCTACTGATATGCGATTCCCTCTTTTTCGGGTTTCGTAATGTCCTTGGATTTACCAGTAGTTGAATCCTTTTGAGCCTGCATCATTCCTGCTGTCATCCCATCTTGATTTTTGCCAGATGGAGGGGATCTCCGCGGATCTCTTACAGGATGATGACCCGCGCGCCTCATATCGCATCGAGTGTATGAGAGCCACGTGGGCGATGTGTGCTTTCTACTTGTGCGGTTAGATCACCGAGGCGCAAACTCTACGTGTCTCAAGGCTCTCACCGAGATTACTATTCTAGCAAGTGAGGGGATCCCTGGACCCCGCGGCTCTCTTTCGGGACGATAGCCAACGCGCCCGCTGTTGTGGGTCAGGCTGAATGTAGATGCGAGGAATGAAATGGTAAATTGACTTTGCGTACTCTCTCCTTTTGTGGCTAGGTCCACCGCAGCGCAAACTCTAGAAGTTCCAGAGCGCCCTAGTACATAGAGCCTCAAAGCTTAGCCATAAACAGCTTGGTGATCCAAGGAGTCAACTCCCAATATCAAGACTTAGCTTTAAAGTTACTTTGTTGATGACAGCGCCTCACTCAACATAACTTAATCATGAAAAGCATGATTCTTTTGCAATGCCAAACATCGTCCACAATGGGAAAATTTTCCCCGAATTATGTTTGTCGGATAATTGACCATAACAACTTACCCCCGGCGCATGAACAGTCATTTCCAGTCGCTGAAAACAACTCCCTGATTTTGTGGGAAGCGCTATTATGTCAATACGCCACCAAATTGCAAATGTATCTACAACTCTTGCAACTTCTCGGATATTGTTGCAGAGCGCAGTATTCTCATCAATGTTTGCATTCACTCAGACAAGGCCTTTACACTTATTTTGCTCGAAAAACGAAGTCGTGATCTGGGCATCACGTAACTTAGAGCATGTCCAAGTTCATTACTTGCAATCCATGGGGTCCGTTCGTGGCTTGCAAATCACGATACAAACTTTCAAAACCACCGTCTAATCACCGTTAATCCGCGACTTCCGACCATACGCAACACAGCATGCCATCCGTCCCTTCCTACCGGCACGGACGCTAAGAACAGGTCTGTCTACCTTGTCCTCTTGCCCTATCAAGCAGTACTCAGTGTGTTCCCTCAAGGGTGGTTGAGTGCAGTCTCTGTGGGCAGGGTTCGCTGTGTTGTGGTCGGTGCCAATCCCGTTGCAGTTAAT